CCCAAAAAGGAACCCTCTAGCGTTCTACCAGTATCTATGTATTCACGTAGTGGATTTATCAGTATATATGTATTTATTATGCGTATGCCCGCTAATTTACTTACACATTGACATACGTACATGTAGGCTGTAACCAAGAAAGCTACCTTTACACATATGAGGTTCGCACAGCGTTACACTGAACGCGAACCGCGAGCGAGTGGTAAAATCAACGGATGGGCAAGCAGGCATACGAGTAGTTGGGGGTAGATGAGTCAGTTTTATGTTGTCCTATTGCGTTTAACAGCCTGTTAACTAAGCATACATTACAAGTCTCATATAAACAAGGGAAACAGAAAACAGGAGGAGAGAAGCAGCGTGCGACAAGTTGCGGTCAATGGAAAATATAGCTGGTGACGGATTAGTATCTGCAATAGGGATCGCTATAATCTCTAAAGAACTTAGATAATACCTGGACGGCCATATTCAGTCATTCAACGCCGTTGTACCCTTTGTAGCCATCGTTTCCTGTTCGATTTCTGTTATTTTTCGGTCGGCTTCGAACATTATATCTTCTTTTAAACTTTAAAACTTTTTTTCGTTTTAGTCCATGTTCGTATATGTTTTTTGCACCGTATTGATTACTGATGCGGCTTACGCCGTATATTTTTCCTTTCGTCATTTACTCACGGACAACGCGTGGTGAAAGAGATGGGGATAGGAAACACTTTTTGGCTTATGCGCACGCTAGCATGTATGTGTATCGGCAAAAGCAATCCTGCAGCTGCATTCACTTCTTTTCTGCGGTAGGTGCACGGCAACATTTATAACAGAGTAAAGGCCTTGGTAACGTAATCTGGAAACAGCACAAACGATTGGTCGTGAATGCTGTTGGAAATGCGAAGATCTGCTTCGTTTAGTCTTGCCGCGGATGATCTACTGCAGGTTACGTATTTCGTCAATCCAAGCACTACAAGGACCGACAGCAGCCTGTCATAATATATCGAAGTGGCCGAACTAAGCGTATAGGACACGCGTGTAGGCAAACAGCGACTGTATAGGTAACTTTAGCACTAGAGACTGCTGCCACCACCGGTCACGTAGGCAACCGGTTAGTCCATAATACTTATAAAGCTTGAAGCGGTAACACTCATCATAATAATAAGTGGTAGCGTTAATGTAACTTCGTAGACACGATGCTGAAAGCAACTGTCGGTTACACGCTACTGAGCAAACATTTCCCTGCCTTCTTAAAAGATCCTTTATGAATAGAACCTGAGGCGAGATAGAGAGTACAAAACGAGTGGGCTAAAGAGAGTAGCATGAAATTGAGAGCTGGTAAGCGAGAACCGCGCATGAGCGCAAGGCCGGCCAACAGCTAACAACAATTTCGTCGTACGGAATACACATGCAAATAAGCCACGGGGGCACAGAGGCGGCTTGAACGAACATGTGTGAGGGACAGGCCATAAGGGGTCGCACACAAAGCTCTGTTCGTCCTCTTCATCGTTTGACCTAGTCGATCACAAACGAACGCACAAAGCCACGCCGAGAGACTAAGAAGTAAAGCGACAGCCGTATCCTACATACGGCGGCAGTGCCAGCTAGATAGCCACGTCTATGAAACAATGGTACACGGAGTAGTTGTGTCTTGTGCCATTACCCATCCCCCTCCCCCTGCTACTCAGGGAAACAAGAACATAGACACAAACAAGGACACAGGCAAAGAGATAGAAAAAAATATCGCCTACCCCCATAAACATGCATCTGAAAAACGCATTTCCATAGAGAGGCAAATGAGAATATCAGGAGCGAATGAAACGCTGCTGAGAAATTGGTATTGACGAACAGCTATTGGGAGAAAACGGTAAAAAATACAACGATCAGTGACAACAGAACAAGCAAATATAGTAGATAGAGCACGAGAGATATCGATAAAAAAGATATATTTTGAAAAAGACAGTTTCGTACGAAGTGGAACAGACCCTCATGTAGTGCGGCATGCGTATAGTGGAGGCAGGATATGTGTCAACAAACGGGCTGAACGTCGATACAGGACAGGAGACACGTTCGGATGCAGCGACGTGCGAAAATCCTATGCAGCTGTGAAGTACAAGACCAGAAGTAGGGATCCGGCATTGGTGTGGGGCGTATATATTTCTAAACGACGCGATAGAACGCGGTATTTACGTTAAGCTGGACTCCTGCGGATGATGTACATGAGTAATTAGGTTGGCTTATGTTTTAATGCGGAGCGCTGTCGAATTCGTTTTGACATTTTTGAAGAAAGGGACATTTTTTTTTATAAAAGAAAGACAGAAAAATAGGGCTTTGTCTTGACTTGGCTAGACTGTTTTGTAACTCTCCATCATTGCGCTGTCAACATTTATGTGTATGACGTAAACAAATGTATGCTTCTAAGCATGTGCTTACAATTATTAGTAGTAGTACTAGTAGTACAATCCAGCCATTGACGTGTGACGTATCGGAATACTCAAAACGTAGTAGGTTAATGGAAAGGTAAAGTAAGTTGGAAGCGTCACATGTGTAGATCTCGGTGGTGGTAGCAAGTAAAAACAAAACATTTGCGGAACAATCTGAGACTAAGTGAAAGGCCGCAGGAAACCAAATTAGAGTTATGGGTGGAAATATAGGTGGACGTCATCCGCTATTTAGGCTGCGAGCTTGCTTCCATGAAGAAAGTTCCAGGTTTATTTCGAGCATGCATCGACCTGGAGAAAGTTGGAAAGCTCTTCAACATTTAGTACTGCCATTGACGAATCAACGCAACAGTAATTGACCTAACGGACGTAAAGGTCGGGACATTTGTTTTTTTGTATCGGCAACCGTACCTATCCTTTAAAGTCTCCTAATTGCTAAAGACTAAACTGACTAGAATACAACTACTACTAAATAGCACCAATGTTAACTTGAGAGATGTCCGCACTTCGTGAACGTGATTATATGTACATGTATTTTGCGTATATAACTACGGCATATATTTACATTGGAAGTTATTATATGTACACGCATCGATGAACGTACTTTATAGATGCATCTTAGACTACAGAAAAACCCGTAAGCATTAACTCTCGAACAATGTATGAGCAGCACGGCATGATTTTCTTCCATTGCCATGCACATACGATACACGAAATCTCCCTCATATAAATGGCAGCCTTCAATGGATCGCTTCACCCTGCTGCTGTTATTATTTTACAACTGTGGCTGCCGTTTTCTGGCGTTGTCTCAGTCTCTCGATCGCCACCTGTAACTCTTTGTGAGGTACTTTTTACGTATTACATAGGCTGAAAGTGACTCACTGGGGACATGCAAGATGAAGAAATCAGACCGATGAAAATAGCCCGATAACGCGGCTGTCTTTCTATCTTCTTTATTGGCTTCACCTCAATGAATGGAAAACGTCGGGAAACTTACCGGGGTAGGCAAACTCGGCGACGAAGTTTGTCACTTAATTAAGACCCAGCCAGAGATGCGCAAAGCCTCCGGTGGTATACATCGTCTCTTTAGTCTTCCAGGGGCAGTACCGTACTCCTGCCATCTATATATAGCCAGTCCAGCTAGTACATTCTAGGTAGCCGCTTCTGCTGATGGCCAAAAGCTGTTTTCCCAAAAGACTTACTGGTCATCTTTTCTACTTTTTTCCTTATTGCTACCTATAATCTCAGACACACAGGCAGCCGTACACATGAACGCGTAAGCCCCACAGACCGACATAGATAAAGCACTGATGTCTCGATTCTCTGCTCGTTAGCGCCTCTTTCGTGCTTCTTCTGCCCTAATGTGAACGGCAAATGGACCGACATCGAAATTGAACCAACGACAAAATGGGCACCATTTCATCGATCTATGAACAGAAGCTAAACTGCAGCACGCCAATGACCACACGGGTACGACTAGATGGGACGAAGCGCAGTGCTTTCACTACGACAGCTTCTTTTTTCGTAACGGTCATCAGTGTGTTAAAAGTGCTGTCAAAAGACGAGAACAGACATCCAAAAAGCCTGCATTATTTAGCCCCCACCCCAGCACCCTTCATTCCTGTCCCAACGAGGTGATTTGGCCATGATGACAAAAGCATGCGTGTATGTGTGTGTGTATGTGTCAGCGATAAGAGACATGGTCACATGGTTGGAACACAGAGGTTTGAGGCCTGTTCAATAATTTACGAAGGGTGCCAGCAATTTAACGGGCTGTGCGATATCGATGCGACATATTGAAGTAACAGAACTCGCCAGCACATCGTTCTCAACCAGAACACCCGCACGTTGAAGAGACCGGAACTAGTAGGGTTATAGAACGTGAAGCCGGCAATTCAGAGGACACTATCCTTATCGCCTACGTTAATGTATATAATGAAACGCGAAAATATCAAATTTTCTGGTAGTCGCTATATAGACAAATGCAGGTATGCACACGCCTATTCATATATATACATATCCTATATGAACGAATCCAAAGCTGTTCAGTTAGGCAGCCTGAGCTCCATGAAGTTCCATGAGAACGTCGATGATAAGGATAGCATGGAAGGTACAAGAGATGACGAAGGGGTTGTTGTGTTGTAGGCGACAGCCAAATTATAAACTGGCTGAACGATATGCCAAGGATATTACGACACTACCGGCGATCAGGACAACAGAGCTTGTTGAAGGATGCTTGCTGTAATACACAACTATAACTACTGGCAGTTTACCTCTACTTATGTGAAAAAAAAAACCATATCGATGAGAAGCAAAAGCATACTACGGATTTTTTATAGTTTGAAAAGCTGAAGGTGAGTGAAGCAAAAATTAGGCGTTCGATAATTGGTGTAGCACTTTTCTGTGAAAGAACATCTGATAGAAATATGGAAGTGGTCAACGTTAGCAATTAGTTAACGTAGTAGCAAACGAATTTATTTAGATACGTTTAGAAAATCGACAGCGATCACATTTAGGTATTTGTGACTATTTATACGGGACTGTTCAGCATATCCTCGCTTACACCGAGTTCTCACCTACCTTCTTGCTGCGTGGCAATAATAGAAGGCACTGGAAAACGCCTACAGCGATATGGATCTACAACAGCTTGATCGACTGGAACTCATTCTTCAGGAATCCGTAATGCTGCCTCCGTGTGTGCTCCTACGGTGCGTCACGTCAAATAGTTTATTACATTCTCATCATGCGAACAGAATCACACGTTATGAAAACATTTCAATCAAAAATTGTTTTTTTTGGTTCTGTTAGATTTCTAAAAAAGTACGGTTTTCTGCTGCTAGTAATAGTCCTTATTTTCGATCTTCACCTTTATCGTCGGTAAAAGTTTAGGCTGCGACGATATTCTTCTTCATCTGTTCCTATTGACGGTTTGTCACTTGGAGAGATTTTTGTTGCCCGTTTTATTTCCAATACGAGCTGCTTCTGTTATTATTGTACTATTGTGCGGTCGCTTCTCTTCCTACAGAAGACAGACAGGTATAAGCACAGATTGAGCAGCACAAGAGACACATAAGCAACTTTTACTGTCCTACTTCTGACTCCCCACTATCGTCGCCATTGTCCACTTGATATCTTCCCGTCTCCACCTCGGACTCATCACACCGGAAGCTGTTACTTCTGCTTCTACCCTTTAACGGACGCCGGTATCTGCCAACCACCACCTCGTCACCGTCGTCGTCCTCCTGCGTGTATCGTTCCGCTTTCAGTGTCACATCGCCGTCCAGCGTCGGCAGAAACGTTGGCAATGAACGGGCCACGAAGAGAAAAGCCCAACCGCTGCGCCCAGCGGCCTCATTGCGCCGCTTGCTCTCGCAGGCCAAGCACCTGACAACGAGGACAGATTCAGGCAGGACAGCCGAAGGGAGCTGCCGGGGCTAGACCGCAACGGCGCTAACGAAACCCCACCAGACAAGTAGATCGGTGAACAGGAAATCACAGGAGATACACACAAAGCAGGCAGACGGAACGTCACAAGCCTTAGGCGGCGGCCATCCAAGCAGGCAGCCACGCAAATAGGCAAGCAAGCAACGGTAGTTACTTTTCCTTATAACGGAGGCGATGGTAACAGCGGCAGACAGCCTTACCGACCACCAAAGCGCAGAGCAGGGCCTTCCTCAACAGAAAGCCTAAGTCACTTCCCTCTCGCTCCTTTTCTCCATGACAACCCTATTTTCTTACCCCCCTCTCCCCCATTTTTGCTAATTCTGTCCCGACTAAAACGGCATAGCATGAGAGCAGGGTTATCGGGCAGTACTGCGGTGCGAAGCTGTGTGGGCTAAAAGAAGCCAAGGATCACACATCAGCTTGAGGGCGCAATATAAAACAGAGACAGAGGCAAAAAGCTCAGAAAACGAACGCTGACGGCAAGTTCGCCTGCCACAACGTTCAAGCGATAACCGCCTGGCTGCTCTTTACGAAACACGCTAGTGGGGCTGCTTCTACGAGGGTGGGGGAAAAGGGACGGTGTAGAGCGGTAACTATGAAATGTCATAAGACCTATATGTGAAATGCTATTTCAATTTATTGTTAGGTTTTTGTCGTTTAGAAAAAAACTTTATGATAAATTAGAATGTTTTGCTGATATACGACAATAAATGAATAGTATTAAGACTGCATGAAAGTTAGTGAAAAACGAATACATCGTGTTTATAGAAAAAATAAAGAAATCGCTGTGGAACACGTAGCTGATAAGCATACGTTTACTTAGCTTCGTTAATTTAAATCGTAGTATTAATAAACAAATCATAAATTAGTTTCACCAATGGCCTTCTACGACCCTGTGCCTATGTGCATTTTTACATATTTCTGTATCGACAACGAATAACCCTTAGGGTACATGAGCCCAGCTATTTATATATATTCTCGGTAGGCGAATCAAAACAAACAGCCACTGCTGTCGCCGCTTGTGCAAATCAGTTAATTCGTCACAAACATATAGGAGGAAAATTGCTTGCATGTTTTCGCTGTGAACTATAATGTGTGGAGACGTGAAAGACGATAGAACCTCAATAAACGCAGGGTCGTTAATTAGAAAGGAAAAGTACGTAGAGAGGGTTGGGCTTTTTATACAATCTGCAGCATCTGAACCAAAGTCCAGTCAATACGGACTCCCTGTTCGAGCTCATTCTGATAACAACCGGCAGAGCCAGGGTTTTAGTAAACCCCCGAAGCTCATCCAAATCGCTCTATTTCCTCACGTTCGGCCTGGAAATGGCGCGACTAATAACATCATCACTGGCAGTAGGAGCAGTTGGAGAAGCTGCTGCTGACCGCCTATGAGCTTCCGCCATTCCAGCCAACAGTAGCGACATTCTCTACATTAAAGGATGAGTGTATAACGGTTTAAATAGAAGCAGGCAGGAAATGGATCGCAGGCAGAACGTCTAATAGAGTATTGTTGTTGCTCTATCGACCTCAAGGGTTCAGTAGCTATCTCGGCCGTTGGTGCCTAAAAAGCGTGATGACTACGGACATAAACATTACCTGCACTTTTTAGTAGCACCACATTGTGTGTTATACATCACGACCATCTCCTAGCAGACATGACGGTGAATACGAATAATTCCATTGCTTTTTTTTTGTATGGATGCAAGCATTAAATCAGGGAAAGTAAATCCGTTCGATTCGACATCAAGGGTGTAAATAGCCATATAGTAACTTGCTTCGATGAAGCCCGTATACTATAACTATTATAATTAACTATTATTATATAAGACATACCATTTCACTGTACGGCAGAGTATGTCCCTATTAGAAAGCTGTTAAGGAGAATATCGATTGTTATATATCAAGGTCCATTTTTCATGATACACATCTATGGCTTTGAGGGTTCATGCCGACTATTACTATATTTAATAATAATGGACCAGATAAAGCTGCTATATTATTACCAAGTGACAATTCAGCAGTTGTAAAGAGAAAATGACTCTACGTGCCCAATTGGTATACATATGAGAAATTTAGATATTATGATGTATACAGCAACACATTGCTGTTGTTTTTGAAAATTCAGTTTCCTTTCAAGCGCTGTCTCTGGGTAAAGCCGAACGTCCGTCGACAGACTATATATA